AGAAATAGCTTCAAAGTGGCTTCACCGCATGGCAATACTAAGAAAAAAAATAACAGTCAAACGAATACAGGCACAAACGGTACAACATGCACAAGCGTGGCCATCGATCATCAAGAAACACACACTTAGCGTTCAGAGGTTCTATGTGGTCAAATGTTTCATGATTACGAGTACAGTCGTCGTTTGTATAAGTGTCAAGAATTATGCACGTCCCATAATCGGCAATGAGATATTCGTATAGTGATTGACGCTAAATGTTGTTTCTTGCGCATTCAGTCCTTGTGGAAAAACAAGGCTAAATGCCCGAAACCACATAGTGCCTTTTTCAGGTTCTTGAAAATGACGCTTACGATCCATCTAACGGCTGCAATTTTATACGTTTTTGAAAAGAATAACAAGACAGCTTGCGGCATCGATGATGATGCTGTTTGGTGTTTTGTGGCTCCAGGGTCATTTAGTAGCCAGATAGTACCAGTTCATGGAACTAGAGATGTGGTCATTGAGTGCGATAAGCCACTGTATAATGGTCTTGAAATTTCTTGTGCTAAGGCGAGTAAAAACAGAACAGTATTAAAATCATGACCATGTCTCCAAACGGGTGCAGTGTCAATAGATAGCCAAAGTTTGTGATAATAAAAGCCTTGGTGGTCCTTTACGGCATTAGCACAAGGGTCTCGATGGTCCACAGCCTTGCGTCCAAAAGCCGCCCGTGAGGCAAGTGCTTTGCTCAGTGTAGCCACTCAAGCGGAGACCTGTTTGGAAGGGTCGGGCTACGGAATGCCTGGATATATGACGTGAAAGGTGCGGATTTCTCTAAAAAAAGCCAACAATTATTTACGTGAAAAAAAGTGGTTCCCTTCCCACAAACATTGCAGGTTGAAGAGGTATCTGTTGTCGGTAGGGTAAAGTGAAGTGTTGTCTTCTCAGCGCGTCTAATTGTTTACACTAGTTTAAAATGCGAAGTACGGTGAGTGCCTCACCACATCTGTCACACAAAGGTGAATCACCACCAGACATGAGACATTCTCGCGGGATCGAAGGCGTAAGGTAAAAAAGAGCTATCGCCTTCCCGAATTATCTAAAAAAACTAAATAAGTACGCCATTTCAGTGTGTGGCTACATGCCATTGGTAATTCACGATCAATGCCACTCCGCTCTACTGATAACTAATATATTCCCGAAAAAACCCATGTTAGGCTGAGAGAGCTTTCTTTAAAGTTTTCAGAAACCAAGACTCAATGGATCTCAATAAGCTTTATGGTGCGTTCATTAGCACGTTTCCACCATTTATGCCAAATTACTGGCTTGAGACCTTCCCAGATTGTTTTTAAATCCATTTTATAGATTACTTCTAAACACTTACTTGACTGGCTAGTCAGAATTATTCCCAACATTGTGCGTGAGACGTCAAGCTCTGCAAATTGTCGGAAGTGACGGATCTAGACGCCCCTACAGCGTCGGCTTGTCTGCTATGGATCGTGTGTGTTTCGCCGGAGCATCCTTGTTTCAGCGTGCGATTTCCTTTTCCGTGTGAGTGGGTGTGCTATCGGTGGCAAGCGGTATTCTGTTGTGGACCGCACACGAGAACAGCCACCAAATACTCGCAACTGATGAATGCACTTCACCTCGATGGCAGGGTGTTTTAGCTAGCGTCGCCGGCTTACCGTACGCAAAGTACGGTTGATATGGTGCCTTTTAAAAAGTACACGGACGCAAGCTTTGGTGCAATGATCTCTTTCTGTAACAAATGCGGGATCCACTGTAAGCGCATATATCTGTGTACTTAAACTGCGCATCGTTATTTCTGAAGGAAGGAAGGAAAATAGAGGGGAAAGAAAGGCAGGGAGATTAACCAGCCTATAGGCAGCCGGTTTGCGACCCTTCGCATGGGAGAGGGATGGGGGAGATGAAAGAGAGCAGAGAGGGAAGAAAGAAACAGCACATTCGGCAGCACGCGCGCGCACAAAGGTACCTACTTGGCTAAAGATATTAAGCCATCTTATCTACTTACTTGGCTAATAATAATAATCCATCTTGTCTAAGTGACACTGCACTCCATGAAATTATGCCCTGTTTCTGTGACAATATTAAAAGTCCTTCTGTAATGACGAATTTCTTACCAAAAGCAGTTTAACTCATCACTCATGCCTCACACTTGGAAAGTCTGGACAAGTGGTGCCATCTGTCAGCGTTACAAGCAAGCAAGCAGATACGAAATTTTGTTCTGCTTCATCGAAGAAAAACGGTGATGCTCGTCGAACTCCAAATGAGTCCATATCGTAGCTGTCGTTGTCCGGCAGCTCTGAGGAGCTTGTGCACGTGAAACTATCGGTCACAGACTGGGTGCGGTACTGTCACTTATCTGCTGAGCGTCTGCCGCTCACGGTTTTCACTCTTTTCTCGCTCCGCGCTTGCAGGGCCTTGCAGGACTTCCGGTTCTTACAAAGCAGTACGTCATACTTAGATTTTCGGACTGGCTGAGCATTTCAGCTGTCGGGCACATGACAAGTGTCTCCATAACATTAAGGGATGATTACGCTGACACGGTGAAAGAGTCGCCAGAGTTGGCCTTCAAAATAGGGGCGTGAAAAAGGGTCGTAAATATTATTATTATTATTATTATTATTATTATTATTATTATTATTATTATTATTATTATTATTATTATTATTATTATTATTATTATTATTATTATTATTATTATTATTGAAGCCACAGTTTCTTTAGGAATTCTGTCATACGTTTGGCCTATTCCTTTGTATGTTAAAAGGTCTGCCTCTCTATGTAAACATGTCAAACTGAAAATCTTCAGCAAAGGTTGCGGGTAGCTGGTTCACATTCAGACTCATCTTCGCTATGCCAGTGTCCACCTAGTTACAGCTACGTATATAGCGCGGAAAGCGCACAAAGAACAAAGGACTGATGAGGAAGGACAACGCTTGTCTTCATCGGTACTTCGTTTTTTCCGTCCCTTCTACACTCTATGCATAATCATGAAACAGCAGCTAGCCCGCCTATATACCTCCTTCGTTCTACAGGTGCGGCTTCTGGTTTATCTCAATGGGTCGTCTCCTGCAACCTGCGGAGGCGCCGTCATTACGCGATGGCACATTCTAACCGCTGGCCACTGCGTCATCAGGTGATTTCTGCGCTATATGACACAATATCAAGATTGCACTGGATGAGAAGCAAAGCCCTTTTGCCTTATATAAGTAGGAGGTACTTGTACACAAACTATCCTTTTCAACTCGTAGCTTTGTAATATGACCATAATGACTATAGGGTCGTGACGTGCGTTGCTTATAGACAGAATCGTATATTCGAGCAGAGAAATATACAGGGGGCGGGGGGGGGGGTCGAAAGTTTTTAGGCCATATCTTCCACAGGAACGTATTGGATAGTGGTCTGGGAACTTTGGCCCCCGCTGTACGTCAGTAGATGGTGAACGCTGGAGAGAAAACATCATGCTTTTTGCACGCTTATCACGTCGCTCGGTGCGGACGCTGTAAGCAGGATCGTACTGAGCACTGAGCACACCGTTGGGGTTCGTGGTATTGTAAGCGATAGTAAGGACATGCCACTACAATGACTGCAATGACAGTGGTACATTTAGGAACTTCCTCAGCAAGCTTCTTACGCCCGTGCCCTGTCCGGTAACGTCGGCGTGTACACCAGTGTTGCCAGGTCGCCGCTCAAGGTCGCCACTTCGGTTGCCTCTTCAGTAACTCCAACAATTCTCACTATTCGGCCATTCCAGCGACGCAGGCGTCGCCATGTAGCCGTGCTCCGAAACTGGCACACGGTGATAAACAGCGACGCAGTTTGGTCTCTGAGTTGCCATGAACCAATGAACGCGTGTTCACGCTCTGCGACGCTGACGTGCACACTCGCGACATCACCGTCTCGTCCGCCATTTTAACCTACCACTGCGCCACCTATAGTCGCTGAAATGATCGAATATGACGCGCTGCCGCCCGAGCGTTTTATTTTCTCTCTTCGATGACCTACGCGCTTGCCTCCTCGCAACTACGGTCACTTCGTTCTCGTCGCTTCGTAGGCATGGCAGCAAGTGACAAGCTCCGACGATGAACTTTACGCACAGGTACCGATATCCTTCTAAGCCCCTTCCCTTGAGTGCTCTCAAACCATGTTGAAGAGCGCCTGATAGCTTCACGTCTGCCATCTAAGAACGTTAAGCATTTGACTCACGGCAGTGGTTAGTATAGCATAAAAGGGGCAGGTTGTTAACATGCTGATCAACGTGGCCAGGACTGCAGTGCCGGCCGTGGAACGCGCGTGACATCATGCGCCGGCTCGTTAACAAGCCTTCTCACAGAAATGGTCTCTCCAAGAAATGGTTCATGCACCTCCGAACAAGCTCCTCTAACATAATACACATTGTGAATATGGCGGTGACCTTTTATGAAACACGGTAGACAGTGTTTAAGCGGGATTTAAAAAAAAAATATCGGATCACACTCGTAGTCTTAGCTATTTGCTTCATCCACAACGTGATGTGTAGAAAATTCCTATTAAAAAGGATTTAAGCCACTGGAATCAGCTACTATGCGTGTAGCATGTATTTCTGTGCTAGCTAATACTGTCAAGTCTACATGCACAGAAATCACCGGTGAACTGGATGGGCAGGAGACGTAGTTTAGATGGTAATACTTTGCACGCGTCATCTTAAAACTGCAGGCTGGAACCTTGCCGGTGGCAAGTTTTTTTAACACTAGCAAGTAAATAACTGCAACTAACGTGTCTTAAACATGCCTTGACTTCATTCGATACAGTTTGTACAATTTTTAAGTAGTTGTTGCACAGGTATAGAGAATAATGTATTCGGAAAAATAAACAAGCAACAAGCAGCACGGTATATTTCCGTGAGCTACGCTTACCTTGTAAATCTGCGCATGCAATTCAGACCAGTCATGATCAGAGCGTCACTGTCATGCAGAAACCACCAGTTGATACCGAGGATAGAGGGCATATACGGAGCTATGGACACGACGTCGAAGTACGCGACTCGGACGCCGATCGCCGCAGTGGCCCTGCATCCCCGCTTCTCCGAAGAGGAGTACCACGACGACATCGCCGTGCTAAAGGTGCCGCAGGCGTTTAACTTCGGCCCCTACGTCAAGCCTGTCTGCCTCGACTTCGACCTGGGGGACCTGACCGGCAAGACTGTCACAGTGGCCGGCTGGGGAGTCCAGAAAAGCGGTGAGTATATTATATAGCAGAAAAGCAGTGAGAGAACACCAGAACGTAGAAATTTCTGGAGCCCTTCACTGGGGCGTCTCTCGTATTCATATCGTAGTTTTGGGACGTAACACCTCAGATATTACTTTTATTTCGATTATTTTTCTGCGTTTTCTTTTCTTTGTTTGTGCCTAATCCTAGTTTTCATTTTCTCTATTTCTTTCTTTCTCTTTCTCTCTCTTTCTTATATTGTGTTTACTTTCTCTTTTTCGTTTCTATACGCGGTTTGCCTTATTGGGTTTCCATATTCATGTAGAAGAGACCGCTCCTAATATCATCATCAAAGCGTTAAAAATAACAAGAGGAAGAAGACCACCTTGGCTCGAGCGCACGATCCACATGCCGCAGCTGGATATGCTACATGCGAAATTGCCGGTGTTACGCCAAGCGAAGGTGGAAACATACGACAGCATGCGACAGCGTGCAACAGCATGCGACAGTCTGGCCGCTCGGAGTGCTTTGCCCTTAAAAATTATGAGGAAAATACTCTAGGGCCGCATAGAGGCAAGCTTGGTTGGCTCGCTTTGGTTAAGTATGCTTAAAGGGCCGAGTTGACTGGCGGAACATGGGAGAGACCTTTGTCCTGCAGTGAACGTAGTCAGGCTGATGATGATGATGATGATGATGATGATGATGATGATGATGATGATGATGATGATGATGATGATGATGATGATGATGATGATGATGATGATGATGATGATGATGATGATGGTGGTGGTGGTGGTGGTGGTGGTGGTGGTGGTGGTGGTGGTGGTGGTGGTGGTGGTGGTGGTGGTGGTGGTGGTGGTGGTGGTGGTGGTGGTGGTGGTGGTGGTGGTGGTGGTGGTGATGCTGATGATGATGACGACGACGACAACCTCCAGGTTGCTGCCTGTCCATCAATGTGCGAATAAACGGATCGACCTATCTGTCTGCCTGCTTATAGGTAGATAGATAATCGTCATGTTATAAATATATAGATTGTTGTAGATATATATGCAACAAAAGCACGTAAATTAGTGTCTTCGTATGCATGTTAATAGTCTTAGCCATCAGAGCCTCCAAGCAAAGTTAATGAGTTTCAATTTGAGTTGAACGATGCATGCTCTACTTCGAACTGTACATGGTCCTCATATTCACACTCTCTCTCGCTTCGCCATGCAACAGGCCTGGGTCCATCGGATAAGCTGCGCTACACGAAGCTGCAAGTTCTGCAGCAGTCCGAGTGCGAGCAGAAGCTGCAGTCGTACAAGTTCAACAAGTCTAGCATGATGTGCGCCTACGGAGAGGACACAGACGCATGCCAGGTAAGTCAAAAGACACAGGACCGACACACATGGCCGCCACAGGCGTGTACGGCCTACTCCATTAGGGAGGGGGGAGGGGCAAGTTTCAGCGCTGTGACATCCCCCTTCCACCCATTTCGAATTGCTTGAGACAAAGGAAAACCTAGCGCTTAAATCACGAGGACAGAAATGAACGAGCCACGATGCGCTACTAAGAACAGTTTTTTTTTTAATTGCCGCAAAACAACTATTAGAAAGACATGCCTCCTGGTAGATGCACACGTTCCATCGTCGTGACAAAACGTAAACGATAAGTTTTAAAACAGACAATTAATGATACTCCTCACTATGTGGTGAACTTCTCATTTGAAGAAATACACGCAGCTAGGTACACGTAAACTTAAGATGGTGGTATGCGCGAACTTGAAAGGGAATCGGTTTCTCATCTATAGATTGTGCATCTTTCGCAGAAAGGAGCTTTCTGCGAAAGGAGAGGGATAGGCGTCGTTGGTATTCAGTGAAAAGTTATGATCTAGTCCGTGACGGAAAAGTCGACAGAATGCTAGTAAAATAAATGTTTAAAATTTTCCGGGTTCGAGTTGAGACCGCACCAGGCCATTTGCGGGGCAAGCATGTGTTTTACCACGCAGCTACGCACTCTGCGTATGGATACCGTGAAAATAGGTTCCTGGGCTTTGAAATGCAGTGAAAATACATTTCATGTTTTACACACCCGTGTCCTGTATACAGGCTTCAGAATACTATCATTGATATTGTAGTAACATTGTGTGGTACAAGTGCCTGAACACGTTGAAAGGAATGATAAGTAAGCCGAGGTTCAGCTTGGCTTACTTGGCTTACTCAGGGGAAAAAAATGAAAGAGAAGAGACATGCTACCACTTGCGACGTTATAGTGATAATTCCCTGTTAAATGCCTCAGGTGGTGATACAGCATTTCGAATACCGACAAGACATCATGATCTGGATATGCCTCCCTTTCCTCGCCAACTAATACCTAGAATGCGTCTTCTTTGTCGACACTATTTAAATGCAGAATTCTTTCACCGGGCCGCATTAAATGTTCACCTCATGCTAATTATGTACGTTACTATCCCCTGGTCTTCAAGTTCAGCACACATTATGTTGCTTTGCAGTTGTATTTGCTGCTTCCACTCATGCAACAGCTCTTCGAGGCAGGAGCACGTTGCAACTACGATAATTCTAATTATGGCCTCTCCAAACGACTGTGTTTAGAACTACCGTGAATGTGTGCGCATGTGAACTTTTTTTAATTTATTTTATATCTCTCTATCTCTACCCTCTTTCCGACCCTTTTCTCCACCCCTATCATCATCATCATCATCATCATCATCAGCCTGACTACGTCCACTGCAGGACAAAGGCCTCTCCCATGTTCCGCCAGTTAACCCGGTCCTGTGCTTGCTGCTGCCAATTTATACCTGCAAACTTCTTAATCTCATCTGCCCACCTAACCATTCTGTCTCCCCCTAACCCGCTTGCCTTCTCTAGGAATCCAGTTAGTTACCATTGAACGACCAGCGGTTATCCTGTCTACGCGCTACATGCCCGGCCCATGTCCATTTCTTCTTCTTGATTTCAGCTATGACATCCTTAACCCCCGTTTGTTCCCTAATCCACTCTGCTCTCTTCTTCTCACCCCTGTACAGGGTAGCAAACCAGTTCTTCTAGGTTAACCTCGCTGTTACTTCCTTTTATTTATTTCTCTCTCTCTCTCTTTCCAATTATGGCGCGCAGGGCGACTCTGGTTCGGCCGTGATGTTCCGTAAAGGACCACGCTACATCCAAGTCGGAATCGTGTCCCACGGTGTAGGCTGCGCCCAGGGCATGCCAGGAATCTACGTGCCAGTCAGCGTCTACAAGGAATGGATACTGCAGACCATTGCCGACGGGAGCGCATTCAAGCCTATCATCGGTCAGAAGATGGTTTAGACAGAACCACGCGTGAATGGGCGAGAAAACTTTGTGACGTCCTGTTATTATGTTTACATTCATGGGCAGGCACAGGATTGCCCCTTCGGGGTGTCAAAACTTCATAACAGCAGTCGTCCCCCTCCCCTCTTTGGTCAAATATAAAGGGCAGAATCTTTCACAATTGACGAATAAGCAATTAAAATGTCGCCCATTGTCGTGCTTTCCACAATGGGCGTCCATTAGTCTTTGGTTTTTATGAAGTAATAATGGGAACAGTGCATAGAACGCCCCACCAGTCGTCTTCGGAAGTACGCGACGCCTGTGGGCTGATGCCACGAACACGAAGTGCATATTGTATGCAAGGAAGCAACGACGAAACTTTCATTATATATATATATATATATATATATATATATATATATATATATATATATATATATATATATATATATATATATATATATATATATAGGCAGGCATGGCGGTTAGGTTAAGTGGCCGTAGCGTTGCATATAGTCAAACGCACGTTGCATTTGAGTAAGTATACCACATTAGAGGAATCGCATGTTAGGTTTCCTCGTATGTTAATCGAAAACTTGGATTGTGTGCTGGTTGCTTTGTATGTTTCTCGCATCGCCTTACATGCAAGAGATCGTGACTTCGAACAAGGTCGGCATGAATTATTGGAGGGTGAGGTATTGATTTGAGATTGGACAAGTGTGTCTTTGAGGTTGCGTGGTCGTCGGTAAACGACGCTTGGAGCGGATGAGAAAGCGCGTTTCAGACGTTCACTTTTAGATGCGGAGCATCTAATACTCGAGGCTTGTAGTGCGGCGCCGTCCGCAAGCTTCCTCCTCCTTCTTCCACCATCTGTGCATCCATTCCTCCTCTACACACCGCGCGCGCTTCACTCCTCCACCATCTGTGCACCCTTCCTCCTCTACACACCGCGTGCGCTTCTCCTCTTCACGAACATTCGCTAGCTGTATAATGTAGTGCGCATGCGCCGTCACGCTTCGAGAACATCGGCAGCTGACGCGCGCGCATGCGCCGTCGCGCTTCGAGAACATCGGCAGCTGACGCGCGCGCATGCGCCGTTGCGCTTCTCCCCCTTCTCGAACATTCGACAGCTGACAGTGCATGCGCCGTCGCGCTGTATATATACTCAAGGTCGGCGCTCGCTCGCTCAGTTGCCGCTCGTCGGTTGGTTTGTACGGCGCGTCGACGTCCAAGGTCGCGGTGAAATGAATTCCAACGAATCCACAAACACAATGATCGACGTCCCTTCGACCAGCGCCGCCCTTTCGCATACGTGTGTACGTGTTCACTCATTTAACACCCCCTCCTACAACCACGTTAACCAATTTAGCCATCGACCCAAGTAAGTCGCAATTTAACACCCCATTTCACAACCACGTTAACCAATTTAGCCATCGACCCAAGTAAGTCGCACTTTAACACCCCGTTAACCAATTATATGCTCCGCATTCTCCTCAGTGTTCCCCCGAGGGAAGCTGCGGGCAATTTTTTTTCCAGAATGCTGTAATGTCGTTTAAGGATTTTGTTTACATTGGGGAAGTTTGTGCTGTAAGTCAAGCAGAGGTTTGTTCGTTGTGGGTCTTCTTGCGGTGGTCGCTTCTTAAGTAAGCCATCGCGCTTCAGTTTTCTCGCTTTTTTGAACAGCGTCATCAATTTTTGAACAGCGCCTCTGTGAGCTCGTGTCAAAATCAGCGTCTCTCGAGCAGATTTGCTTAAACCGGTGAGCCTAGCTGTATGGGATACTGTTTTTACAGTGGCGCGGTTGATCGCTTCGGTAATAGAGGTATTGTTGTCGATCCGTTGGTTTGCGATATATAGTTGTAGAGAGCGTGTCCTCTTCTATCGTTATGGTGACATCAAGAAAATTTACGGTTACTTGCGAGTATGTGTGTGTGTGAAGTGTATGTTCGGACGTACAGGGTTGTAAGTGTCAATAAAGCTGAGAAGTTCGCCCTCGCTGTGGGTCCAAATAAGAAAGATGTCGTTTCTGTATCTTCTGTAAACAGTGGTTTTAAGGAACTTTGAGCAAGAAATTCCGATTCTAGATTTCCCATAAATATTTTGGCATAATTGGGTGCCATTTTGGTGCCCATAGCGGTCCCGCTGATTTGTCGAAAATACTCTTGGTTGAACTCGAATGAATTTAATTCGACGACCATCCTCGTACAGGTGCGATGGCAGAGAAATCTGGGGTGTTAGAATGTCTATTGGTTTGTGTACATGCTTTGTAATGCAGCTATGCTGTCATCGTGAGGAATACTTCTATACTATGAAGAGATATAGAGAGTAACCAAGTACGAGTTTTTCGGCACACACAGACCTGCAATGTCTCGAAGAAAATGTGTCGTGTCTTGTATGTACGACGCAAGGGTGCATGGAATGTGGCTTATTAATTTATCCGCGTACCCTGATATGGGTTCAGTCATTGTACCGATGCCTGATTTGATTGCTCGACCTGGATACCGGGTTTATGAATTTTTGGGAGGATGTAGAAGCGACCTGGACGAGGGTATGCTGCTCGACCCAGTTTGTGGTCACTGTTGGTTACCTTTTCTGCATCCAACAGTTTCTTTAGTTCTGTTGATATAATACGTTTGTATTCGCCTGTCTGTCTGGCTATAAAGTCGTCATTTTGTCCCAAAAGTGCTCTTAAGGTGATTCATCAGCATTCGATGCAACCTTGAAAAATCGAAAATTTTCAAAGGCTATATTGCTGTTTATTCTCAAAATCATGGCGGATATAAATGATTTAAAACGCCCCAAAACGTCCGAAAATCGAAATATAGAAGCTCTCTGAAGGCTATAACGTCGTCATTTTGTCTCAAAAGTGCCTTAAAAATGATTTATAAGCATTCGACGCAAGCTCAAAAATTTGAAAAGTGCCAAAGGCAATTATGCCGAATGTAAATGATTTAATATGAGACAAAACACCGAAAAGGCGAAAAATAGAAGCTCTTCGAAGGCTCTAAAGTCGTCATTTTGTCTCAAAAGGGCCCTAAAAATGATTTATCAGCATTTAATCCAACCTTGAAAAATGGAAAATTTTCAAAGGCTATAGTCTTGTCCTTTTTTCTCAAACTCACGGCGAATATAAGTGTTTTAAAAGCGTCAAAACGTCGAAAAACCGAATGATTGAAGCTCTCCGAAGGCTATAAAGTCTTCATTTTGTCAGAAAAATGCCATAAAAGTAAATTATCAGTATTCGATGACACCTCGAAAAGTTCAATTTAGGCTTTCTATTTTTTATAAAAGATCGTGCGCCAAGGCTCAGACACAGAAGTTCGCCATTTATTATTGAAGAATGGCCTGCGTAATGTACACAACTTTTACACCTTCTTATCATGCCGTGGCAGAATAGACGAGTCGGTAAGGTGGTAAGCTCTAAACAGGACGGTCGCTGGTTCAAATCCCGCTGCCAGTAGGGTTGAAAAAAAAACAGGGCGATGTGGTGAAGGGCACTCTTACGCCCAAGTGCGTTGTTTGTTTTTATGATTGACCTGCAGTGTATCAAGCAGAGCAAGTTCTAATTTGTGTATCCTGTGTCGAGGCAGTAGCCCAGTTGGTATGGTGTTCAGTTCGCAACCAAAAGGTCGATGGTTCGAATCACAGAGCGACGAGTGCCGGAACAACATTACTACGAACCCCGAAATGCACGTAATCTAGTATGTGCCATTGGCATGTCAATGCCACATACTAGAAGGCAAATATGGATTGCCAATCTGCAGGTGGGGCTTACAGGGCTGAAAAAAAATCGTTGAACGAATAATATACGCTTTCATTTTTTTGTGAAAAAAACATTTTTTTTTGGCAAAAGTAGGGGCCACGAGCTACGGCGGCTCTGGACTTGCCGAAGGTCCAGGGTACCCAATAGCCGCCATGTAGCTCAAGCAACCCCCCCGAGCATGACAAGCCTCACCGTGCCGTAGCACAACTGCGAAGCGCTCGCGTTAACCCCGAGAAATCCCCAGGGCGAGGGGTGTACCACTGTGGATTGAGCCAGGTCCGGGTAACACATCCCTCTTGCCTTTGAATCCGGTGGCTTTCCGGCCGGTAACCGGTACGGCATTGAACCCGGCACCTCCCACATTGGAAGCAGACGCTCATACCATTATGCTACCTCTGTGGTGGGAGCTTTAGTGACAAATAATCTGAGTCAATTTCGTGTATGCGACGAAACATGGGAAAATAAAATTTTATATCCTTTAAAAAAATACTTTTAGCATTGATACCGGCATCGGGATTTGAACCACTGCCCTTCCGATTATGAAACAAGCACTTTACCACTCAGCTACTGCCGCGGCTCGCTTACAAGGTTTAGAAGTAACTCTGTACATTACGCAGCTGCAGTTTTTGCGTTCTTGCCTCGGACCGCACAAAGTTTTCTGGCATCCGAAAACACAGATGCAAGTTTTCCGGAGCTTCTATACTGGCCATTTTCTCTCAAAATAGCCCTAAAGATGATTTATAAGCATTCGACGCAACCTCAAAAATTTTAAATTTCTAAAGACTATAGCCTTGCCATTTTCTCTCAAAATCATGCCGAATACAATAGATTTAAAACGCGTCAAAATGTCAAATATACGAAATATAGAAGCTCTCCGAAGGCTATAAAGACGTCAATTCGTCTCAAAAGTGCTCTAAAGATGATTTATCAGGATTCTATGCAACCTTGAAAAATCGAAAATTTCTAAAGGCTATAGTCTTGCCATTTCTTCTCAAAATCATCACGAATATAAGGATTTAAAACACATAAAAACTTCAAAAAATCACAAGATTCAAGCTCTCCTAAGGCTATAAAGCCGTCATTTTGTCTCAAAAGTGCTCTAAAGATGATTTATCAGCAATCGATGCAACCTTGAATAATGTAAAATTTCCAAAGGCTATAGTCTTGCCAGTTTTTCTCAGAATCATGGCGAATATCAATGCTTTAAAACGCATCTAAACGTCCAAAAAATTGAAATATAGACGCTTTCCGAAGG